TTGGTGAATCGAGCTCCATCATCTGCAATAGAGCTGAAGACACCAATGGAGATGTGGACTGGTAAACCAACTGATTATTCAAACCACCATGTATTTGGAAGTACTGTGTACGTGATGTACAACTCCCAATAAATTTCAAAGCTGGATCCAAAATCCAGGAAATGCAAATTCTTGGGGTATGCTGATGGAGTCAAGGAGTATCGCTTGTGGGATCCCACTGCCCGCAAAGTGATCATCAGCAGGGATGTTATCTTTGTAGAAGATAAGCTACAAAGAAAAGAAGATGATGATAGTGCTGAAAAGTTAGAGACTACTCAGATACATGTGGAAAAGGAGGTTGAACAAGGAGATTCTTCTGAAGCAGAACCAGCACATGATGAACAAGAACCAGAGAGTTCTGATGCTCCAACAACTCGTCAATCAGATCGTGTGAGAAGACGTCCCAATTGGCACTCAGATTATGTTATAGAAGGAAATGTTGCATACTGCCTTTTAACAGAGGACATTGAGCCATCAACATACCAGGAGGCAATAAACAGCTCATATGTTTCACTATGGATGATGGCGATGCAAGAAGAAATTGAAGCCCTTCATAAAAATAATAGATGGGACCTTGTGCCACTACCACAAGGAAGGAAGCCAATTGGTAACAAATGGGTCTTCAAAATCAAGCGAAATGGTGACGATCAAGTTGAGAGGTTTCGTGCAAGACTGGTGGTCAAAGGTATGCTCAAAAGAAGGTATGATTTCAATGAAATATTTTTCTTGTGGTTCGACTAACAACAGTTCGAGTAGTTTTGGCAATGTGTGCTACATTGAACTTACATCTAGAGCAGAGATGTTAAAACATCTTTTCTTCATGGAAATCTTGAAGAAGAGATTTACATGCTCCAGCCTGAAGGTTTTGAAGAAAAAGAAAAGAAGAACTTGGTTTGCAGGTTGAAAAAATCTCTGTACGGTCTAAAGTAGGCGCCGAGGTGTTGGTATAAGAGATTTGATTCCTTCATTATGTGCCTTGGACACAACAGACTTAATGCAGACCCTTGTGCTTATTTCAAGAGGTCTGGTGATAACGATTTTGTTATATTACTGTTGTATGTGGATGACATGTTGGTTGCAGGACCCAACAAAGATCATATTGAATAATTGAAGGCACAATTGGCTAGGGAATTTGAAATGAAGGACTTGAGATTAGCAAACAAGATTCTAGGGATGTAAATTCACCGAGACAGAAGTAATAGGAAAATTTGGCTTTCACAAAAGAATTACTTGAAAAAGATCGTCACGATTCAACATGCAAGATTGTAAGCCAATTTATACCCCTCTTCCTATTAACTTCAAATTATCCTCTAGTATGAGTCCTAGCAGTGAAGAAGAGAGGATGGAGATGTCTCGAGTACCGTATGCATCAGTAGTGGGAAGTTTAATGTTCGCTATGATATGCACAAGACCAGACATGCACAAGCAGTGGGAGTGGTTAGTCGTACATGGCGAATCCAGGCAAGCATTGGAATGCAGTAAGAGGATCCTGAGATACATCAAAGGGACCTCAAATGTTGCATTTGTTTACAGATGATCAACTTACTAATCAATGGATATGTAGATTCTGACTATGCAGGGGATTTGGATAAAAGCAAATCTACGACAGGATATGTGTTCAAAATTGCTAATGGAGCTGTAAGCTGAGTTTCAAAATTGCAGTCAGTTGTGGCTACATCCACAACAGAAGCAGAATATGTAGCAGCTACACAAGCCAGTAAAGAAGCAATTTGGTTGAAGATACTATTGGAGGAACTTGGGCCCAATCAAGAGTATGTATCTCTGTTTTGTGACAGTCAAAGTGCCTTGCATCTAGCAAGGAATCCAGCATTTCATTCAAGGAAAAAGCACATACGAGTTCAATACCATTTTATTCGTGAAAAGGTGGAAGAAGGGACGGTAGATATGCAGAAGATCCATACCAAAGACAATATAGCAGATTTCATGACGAAGGCGATCAATGCTGATAAATTTACCTGGTGTCGATCCTCTTGTGGCCTGTCAAAGACGTAAGCAACATGATGGTACAAGGTAGAAAGAATGGTGTGAATATATGATTGTTCCAATCAAATCTTCAAGTGAGAGATTGTTGAAAATGCATGCACCACCGAAAGTGCCAAGCAAGTTGGCAACATTATTTTCAAGAATTAATGCACCGAAAGGTGCATGGAAATTTTTTATTTAAATATTAAATGGGATAATTTAATTTAGTCATTGTACTTTAGGGTATTTATAAGATTAGTCCTTAAAGCTTCAACTATAAATACTCTAGCTCATTTAGCTTCAAAATCATCCCAAAACATTCTAGCTTTCTTCCAATACTAGAGAGAATTTAGATAGTTTCTTGAGAGTTGTTTTCTCCTTTTTTATCAAGAGAGAATTATCATTGTTTTCTCATTGGTAGATCGAGAGAGGTTGTAATTCCTATTTTCTCATAGTGAAATTCTTCTACCGTTTCCCGTGGTTTTTACCCTATATTATTTAGGGGTTTTCCACGTAAATTTTGTGTCTTCTTTATCTTCATTTTTATTTTCTCAAATTATCAGTTGCGATTTTGCTCTATCCGATAGCTGTCTTCCGCAACAGTTTCGTATCTGTGTACCCGTAAAGAGATAGAAATAGGCAAAGGTATTTGACACCACTATTACGTTTTCAATTAGATTTCGGTCTCGTTTTTCTTTCTTGTTTTTTTTAAAGTTGAGTTAAGTTTAAGGTGAAAAATATATGGTCCAAGAATAATAATGTATTTAACTTTTATATATTTTAGGATTCTATCTTACCTAATAAAATGAAGGCTTAAATATACAAAAAGTGTTCAATTTATGCCCTTTTTTCAGTTTAGTATCTAACGTTTATTTCGTTTCAATTTGGTACCTAATGTTTCATTCCGTTACTCAAAATGGGTCAAGCCGTGATGGATCGTTAATTTTCTCCGTTAAGTGACATGTGTCACAATATGATAATTATAAAAATTTATATAAAATTTTTTAAAAAAATTATATATTTTTTTAAAAAATAAAACACTTAAATTTTGAAATAACCCCAAAACTTTTAAAACCTTCATTTTAACCCCTAAACCCACGCCGACCATTGCCCTTTGTCGTCGCCGAAACTCCACCCGACCTCACTTCCCCCAGACGACCAAAACCCCTATGAAATCGTGATTGATCGACGACTAATCGATGTTTTATACCCCGCGAACCCTAGGATGAAAATCGCAATCCCAAGTGATTTCGATGACCAATTGACGACAACTACAACAACTTATAACTAGGATGATGACAAGGACTACGTTGGCGGCGGCGGCAGTGGCCGAAAAGGGCGGTGGGGGGTTAGTGTTAGGATTTGGGAATTTTCAGGATTTTGAGGTTTTTTTGTAATTTAAAAAATAAGGGTTTTTAAATATAATAATATTTTTCATATTTAAAAAAATCAAAATTATGAGATTGTGACATATGTCACTTAACGGAGAAAACTAACAGTCTGTCACTGCTTGACCTATTTTGAGTAACAGTATGAAACGTTAAGCACCAAACTGAAACTAAATAAATGTTAGGTACTAAACTAGAAAACGAACATAAGTTGGATACCTTTTGTATATTTAAGCCTAAAATGAAAATTATATATGTTATTGGATGTGAGATTTTACTTTAAAAATCGGGTCAATTTTTTTTGTCAAGTGTTACTTCCTTAAACCCTAATTGAGTGAAGGGTAATTCTTGAGTTTAGTTTAATGAACCAAAAACTTGATCTGATCTATAATCATCCCTATATCAAAATCACAACGAATCAAATATTTATATCTTTTACGTAATTTGAATTTATAAAATTCTTTGTAATGAATTTAAATTTGCAAAATATCTAAATATTATTATCTGAATCTAAATTTTAATTAAATAATATTATTCATCACATATTAGATACTTGAATTAAAAAGAAAAAAGAATCAAATCGCACCCATCAAAGTTTTTACGCTCTCTAATTCACATTTATTTGGCAAGTAGTAGAATAGTATAAAGATAGCAACTTCATCCGAAAATTATAACCCTCATTTTAAATCGATCCTTAAACTTTTAAATATTTCAATTTCATCTCAAACTACCAATATATGTTAATCACATCTCATGTTAATAAAACCGTTAGGCCAATGTTATTATATTTTTGAAAATATTTTTAAAATTTTGGTTAAACTATGATTAAACCTAATTACATTTTTAGATGAATTTGATGATGAAATTAAAAGATTCATAAGTTTGGTGACCAATTTAAAATGAGTTATAATCTAAGGATGAACTTGGAGCATTTGAAATTTATAAAGATTAACTTAGAATGAGAATCTCAATTCAATAATATCATTGAAATATTTAAAATTTAAAAACTAATTTAAGATGAGATCCATAATTTAAATATGTGTGATACAATTAATCCTAAAAAAATGAAAAACCCTATGGATATTTCCAAAATAGGCCGAGCAGTGAGGCCAATAAATCCGGTAAGAAAAGATGAGAAATATAACGGAAGTGTCCACCCAACCAAATATCGTTACCTTAATTTAGGGTCAAGGCATATCACGCACTTGGATTATTTATGGCAGCTAGGCCTAATGGGCCTAAATCGGATATGGACTATGATTCTCTGCCCATAGACCAGATTTAATCCAAATATAATTTAATTAGTTTTAAAATATATATTTTATTTAATTTTAATTACATATATAAATATTATTATAAAATTATATTTTATTATTTTATAATTAAAAAATAGATAATTTGGACTAAACAAAAGCATTTTCTCATCATCATTAAAGGAAACAAAGTTCCATCTCCAACAAAAGCAATAGAAAGCTTAGATAAAAGGCACAATACGGCCCAACAAAGAAAGAAAAAAAAATACCCAGAACGGTCCATTCTCAAAAGATTTTATTACTACATTTTTATTATTTCCAAAGTCCAAAACAAACCATCCTTGAGCTCACTTTTGCTTTAGTCTCACATTCTAGCCTTAGCCACAATCGTATTGCCTTCGGTTCCAATGTCCCCTGCTCCTGGTCTGGTCCATGTTTCCTTGAATTGCTCCTCAGTCACACCTGCACAAATTTTTAGCCATCAAAGAGATGATAATTGTAATACATTAGGAGGGAAAATTTGTTTGACTTGCCTTTGCCCATGGCTGCTGTCGATGCTATGCCTCCTTGGACCGTCTTGAGATATCGATCGTAAAAGTTTGCACCGGACCATTTCTGGTGAGCCAATGTGTCCACTCCATTGTTCCTTTCTTCCCTTTGGATCCTCTCCACATATGCAAGCATCCCCCTCGTTGCGAAATCTCTCGCGAACGTGTCGGTCACCAATGCATCCGCGTGGAAACCGGCTAACGTTATGAACTGCCAACAGAAACCGAGCTTGGCAATTCTTGGAATGAAGTCCTTCATCTGTTCGTCGGTCATCCCCGATGCATCCCAATTGAAAGATGGGGACAGATTGTAGGCCAACATGAGTTCTGGGTGCATTGACTTCACTCCTCCGGCGAATTTGGTGCACTCGATGAGGTCGGGGCTCGATGTCTCCATCCAAATAAGGTCTGCATGAGGCGCAAAAGCGCGACCACGAACAACGGCTGCCATTACGGATCCTTTGAACCTGTAGAACCCTTCTCTGGTCCTTGGCAAGTCCCAGTCCCAGAAAAGATTTTTGAGACCCAATCTTTCGGCAATCTCCCTGGCTTGTTCATTTGATAGGCAATTATCGTAACTCGAATGGTTCATCCATTCGTTCATCCGCCTCCTCTTCTCGTCTTCGGTGATGTTCATGTTCTTGATGGTGTCCACAACAAATTCTGAGAATGTCTTAAGTTGTGCCATGGCTAACCAGTTGTCTTCAATGGCCTGAAGTTCAGGGCCATTTCTACCAGCAGCCATTCCTTCAGCCAGCATAGTGGCCAGACTTTTCCCCTTAAGGTTCGGATTCGTCACACCGAGAATGAACTGATGATCCCTGGTGTCCACATTGGTTTGGATCAAAGTAGCCGCGACGGCGTCGGTTCGAGCCACCAGCACCGTCTCGACTCCCATAACATCAAACTGCAACCTCGCGGCGACGAGCCTGTTAATGTGTTCACTAACAGCAACAAGCACTTTACCAGCCATGTGACCACATTTTTTGGTCACAGACGACTGGTCCTCAATATGTACACCCGCAGCACCGCGCTCGACGAAAAGCTTGCAAAGCTTAACAGTCGCTGTGGTGCCACCGAAGCCGGTATCACCATCGGCAATGATCGGCTTCAGGTAATCAACATAAGGGGTTCGAGCCCGTTCCTCCCGGCTCATACTCATTCGTGCCTCTCTTTGTTTACGGTCATGGTACTGTTGTGCAAAGAAAAGGTGTTCGACTTTGTTTGGGACGGTATCGTAAGGGTAGTCGGCGAGGTCCGGACCTGGCTCGTTGGTGGTGGTGTGAGTGGAGGAGCATTGCCAACCGGAGACATAAATAGAGTCCAAATGCTTAGCCATCATGGTTACTTGGACAGGGTCAAGTGCACCAAAAGTCCTGGACGCAGTGCCGTTGGCTTGGTGTGTCTTGAGCGTTCTCCATAACTTCTTCGCCATCTCGTTCGAGCCATAGCTCTGCTTGAGGTTGCCTCGTAAAGCCACAACATCTCGAGCTGAGTACGGTCGTCGAGTTAGCTTGAACCTCTCCGAGTTCCACCATGCTTGCACCTCTGCAACTTCAGCTTCGAATCTCCCTTCTTCTTCCATTATCTGTCCAACAAGCTTCACTTATTATAATCTTACCATTTGAAGTAAATTACACGAACATGGTCAGAAAAGAACTTACCATTGAAGGCACCGAGAAAGATGCAGCCATGGCTAGAACTTTGAGTTTTGGAATATAAAAAAGAAGAAAAACTTTGTGAAAACAACTAGGAGAAGATCATGCTGTGCTCTTTTCCCCTCCAAATCTCTAAATTTATAGGAGAAAACTGGGCATCAGTTACCACCTTCCCCTCTACGAAACGATAACAACCGATAAATAGAAAAGAAATTAAAATTATGAAAAACGAAGTATATAAAAAAGAAATTGCATGGTTCTGAATATTTATCTGCAGAAAGTGAGTGAAAAGTGTCCCAGGGGACCTGCATTTACAGGCACGTAGAATAAATCATTTTGTCCTGCTTCATTTCGCCTCACGTCACTCCTTTTCTCCTCAACTGATTCCTGTTTCCTTTTCCTAGAGGCTTTACAATGTTAGGTAGACATACAAGTTTCGATTAACTCTTTAATTGAAATTTAATATTATTAATTAAATTAAAAGATGTTAATTTATCTACTATTTAGTCGATAATTTAAGATTTAGAATGAATTTAATTCGACTCGATATTGCATTTAATCAAAACCGTTACAATTATCTAACCTTGGAAGTTTCGGACAAATTGCTGTTCATTTGAGGGATATTGTTCACTGAGGATCGCTGGCTTGGAAAATTGGGGTTCCCGAGGAAGACAATCAAGATAACCCTATCTTCGTTTCTCCATTCCCATTTCCATAATTATCACTTAGCCAACTTGTCAATTCTATCCTTTTTGCTAAATGGATAACATATAGATTAGTTTGTATTTATATATTTATGTTGTATTCGTTTTAAGCATGTTTATGAATATCATATAGACACATAAAACTAAATCAAATTTTGTAATTTTAATTGAATAAATTAAAAGAAAGTAGAATGCTTCTTTTCTCAATTTTATTAATTTAATTAATCTAACCCTTAATCGTTTTTATCAGATTGATTTAAATGTGATGAAATGTAACAAGCTCTTTAAACTGACCTCAAATGTTTTGTTGTCTTATGTTGTGTCCTCAAATGCTCTTTGAAACGTTAATTAATCTTTATTAAAATATTGATATAAGTTCCCTTTTATAATTTATAATTTTTTAAATTTTAATATGAGAAAAGGAAAAAAAATAAACATTATTAATATTTTAATAAAGATAAAATATCATCGTTACTAAATAAAAGTTTAAAGAAATAATTACTAAATAAATTATCACTAACCCTTGTCCCCGTACCCAATCCCAAATCATAACTAACTTTTAATGCCTACCGCTAAAGTCTAAACCCAATAGATTTATTCAACCCAATCCTTAATGTAAACCATTTCTTTCTCCATTGTTCACTTGGAAATTGGGGTTCCCGAGGAAGACAGTCAACATGGTACATCCTAATTTCTCCATTCCCGTTTTAATAAGGTTAAATTATATCCGTGATTAAACATAGTATTTTTTTTCTTTAAATGTATTATATTTAAGTATTTGTGTTGGTAGATATGTGTATTGTTAATGACTAATAAGTATTTTAAAATAAATATTATTTTGTAATCATCCTAAACTATTAAAAAAACCTGTAATATAAATCATTTCCAAAACCCTACCCAATACAAAGTTAATATTTTATAATTTTTCATTTTTAAATAATATGATATAATTATAATAAAGTATTTGTTCAATTTTTTAAAATTATTGACAATGGACACACTTGTAGATATAATCATCCGAATTCAATTTTTTTATAATTAAAAACATTTGATGAGTTCTATTATTTTATAATTAATTAAGCTTAAAAATAAATTTTAACTTAACTGTCGGTTAGGTTAATTATAAATGTTGGTCGGTTTTTGAATATATCCAGTGGGTAAGATTTGTTGAAGGATTGATGTAACACGTCATGGACAAAGCAACGAGGTGCTGTATTATTCTCACAAGTTATTAAAAAGCTTCAGAAATATTCTTTTTTATGAGATTTTCAGAAGGGTCGCAAGTTGTTGTGGCCCAATACATCACTTTGGGTAAAAGGAGTTCTTTTAACTTGCGATTTTGGGACATTAAACGTCGTCGCCTTCTCCGAGACTTATGACTCTGGTCCTAAAATGAGGCTGCTGATTGCCTGATAGGGTGGCGAAAAGAGTGACAATATTCCCAAACTTATTTTTTTAGTACACCAAATATGAATATTGTTTGTATTTATTATTTAATTTTATATAAAATGTTAATTTGATTTCTAAATGCTATATAAAATATAAATTAAACTCATTAGTTCAGTCAAAGTCTTCATCCTCAGTCCTTGTTCACCGTTATATTAGATGTCACTTATCACCATCGTTGATGTCTGTTGGACAACAAAATTTGTAGTTCAATCAGGTTTGGTCTCTTGGAGACAAATTTGATATCTTTTTATAGAAAAAAACGCCTCAAAACTCCATAAATCTAACTTTATAACTTTTTTTAATAAAAAAACTTTATAACCTTTTGAATTCCTTTAAAAATAAATCATATTTTTTTAAAAATATATATATAAAAAATCTAAACCTATATCATTTATATGTAGGGTTTTAGAGCATTTTTATGGTAAAATCAACAACATTTTCGTGTTTATGAGACCAAAATTTTTTTAAAAAATTTTTAGGTCTAAAGGTTGGTGATGAGGGATGAACATCAGTCGGAGGAGGAGGACTTTGGCCAGAGGTCAAACTGATAAATTTCGTAGAGTTTAGGGGTCAAATTGATAATTTATCTAAAATTCATGGGTAGAATTAGTATTTTATTTGATGTAAAAAGGTCAAATTAAAATTAATAAATTTTATTAACATGCCACATCATCATACTAACATGAATTAACAATTCCGTGACTAAAATATGATGGACTGAAAACAAAAATAACAATAACTTAGCTTTTTCAAAACCGGTAATCAAAATAAGATTGATCAAAAACAAAGTGAACACCCACATGATTTTCCCTTTTACAAAGTAATAATGATTTAATTATGATAAATTTAAGTAAAGAGAATAATCTCTCAATTCCATTGAATTAATGGATGAAATTGAGAACTATACGAAATGAACAATTAAGCAATGTACAAAGGACTTAAGTGACATTATCACAAGGGACAATATTACATACAAATGAGGACTTAAGTGTTGAATTAGACTTTTGATCTACCCCAAATCACGTTATTTGTGGTTGTTAACAATTTGATTGACGACCTAATCCATTTAAAGCCAAAGGATAGACCCCCAAAAAATAAGCCTATTTGATTATTAGACACCGAGTAATGTGTGTATTATATTAATGGAATCAGTATTATGAATCCGACAATCCATCGGTGATTAGCACAACATGCAAAAGATTTTATCAGATTGTGGTACATAATGTTACGACCATCATCATCCGTACCTATCGTATAATTCATGATGCGGACTTCAAATATTCATTTATGCATGCATGCATAATATAAATATAATATGCATATGATATCAATCAATTATGAAGTTGCCGGCCATGTGGAGGGAAGAAATCCACATTAGTCTTGATTCTATATATACATATTACAGCTCAATCTTTGTTTCTATTTTTAGTTTTAAAACTATATTATTAATGATTAATTTATTATAATAATAATCATGAATCATTATTATGAATGATTAACTGCCCCTTTGTACTGAAAGATTCGTCCAGTAAATAAAGTAAAATTGGAAGAAGAGTAGAAGAATGCCAAGACTTTTGAGATTTATAGTACAATTTTATTTAACTTGACTTATTGTAGCAACTATATATGTAAGTATAATTCTGGAGATTATAAGATTCTCGTATATATAATCTTTTATAATTTGTTATTTGATTATAGTGATATTATTCTCTCCTGTATGTGGTTTTTATCGATAAAACTTTCTATATAAATACATGTTTTTTTTTAATTCCTTATTACTTTAACATATATTTTCATATGTTCTTTCTATCACTTGCATGGGAATAGAACTAAATTTGGAAAATATTACTAAAAATAAACCAAAACGGTAAGTTATTGGTATTATCTTAATATTCAAGTGGATAGAAATTATAGTGCATGTCTTTCATTATTTATTTATTTAAGATATTATATTTCATATTCATATTCGAATATACATTATATATAAAAATCAAAACATAAGGTGTAAGAGAAAATAACTTAACATACAAAGACGAATACATGATTTTATGTCATGAGTACAAACTTTTAAAAGTTTACATTAAAAATTTAAAAACTTCGACATTAAATTATCAATATAAAATGTAAATAAAATATACGAGAAATTAAAAATTTTCAAGAGATATCATTACTTCTAATATCATCTTGATCTATCCCTAGCTACCGACATAAATTAATAACTCAATGATAAGCATTAACCAAGATTGTTAACTAACATGGCCGGAGGAGCTAAACTCTCTTATGTGAACATTTCTCTGGCGAACCTTCCTTCTTCCCCTGTAGAAAACCAACAAGTTTAACTTACTAGTTAATATACTTTATATATATATATATAATTTACCTATACAATATAAAAATTTTAAAAAATTATGTTGATTTAAGATCATTGAATAAGTTAAAATTGATGATTGTGATTATTTGCTTTTGCTTTTTATCTTGTAAATATTTTTTAAAAATTTTTAATCTCAACCATCAATTTACATTCATACAACAGTCTTAAATTTTTGTAAAACTTTTTTTAATGTTTGGTGCCCGTCTCTCTATATTAGCAATTAGGTTTAATTATAATTTCAATCTCACTATTATGTTGTATTGAAATTTAAGCTATATACTCGACGTAATTAGGTCTTTTTATTTTTATAATTGCATTAGTACACTCAAGTTGGTAATACTATTAGTTGATGTCGTTAAGAACTTTAAACCTTCAATTAATATGTAAAATTAATTGGTTGAACATAATAGACTTGATTTTCACGTCAATCAATTTGATTTTCTGATAGGATAATATTAAAAATAATTTATCTCATCACTTTAACGATAACTAATGATGTTATGAATTTGAAACAAAAAATATAAAAAGTAAAGGACCATATTATGTAGAAATTGATGTAACAGGTTAATTTTAAATTTCAGCATAGTAGAGGGTAAAAAAC